GTGTACATCATTACTAGGGTATACGTCATTACTGATGGTGCTAGTGTGTACATCATTACTAGGGCATACGTCATTACTGATGGTGCTGGCAAAGCTAACCCTAGATGGCAACTTTCTTCTCTCACGTGCGTGACAAGTACCTTTTTCTTTTTCTAGATCAGCTTGGGAAACATTTCCTCTTATCTCCCCTCTCACAAAAGTATGAATTTGGAGCTAGAAAACTCACCAGTAAACAGCCCCACTGTCCAATAAATATACTCTGCTTGTTAAATCTAATATACAAATATGGTAACAAAGGTTTGAAAATGGAGCCTTGTCTAGTGCTATATTGGCACTCCAGTTAACAAGCCTTCCGAAGGAGTCGTGTTATGTTCAAGTCTGATAAACCTATTGTCTAAACAGATTTATTCTTTACGAACAGACAGGAGAGTTTTCCCTGCACTGTGTTCAGACATCGGATATGGTGCTGTTTGTGGCCACTGTCTACAGTGAAGATTTCAGAGTCAGCGATCATTAGCATTCCTGGTCCAATCAGGAATGCTCTTCAGTGCTGCTGCTGAATGATCTGCTCCGGACGTGGTTTCTCAGCTGCTCGATGAGTTCCGGATTCTGTTGCTGTATCTGCTGAGCAAACTGCTGGCCCCTGGAAAGAAGAGGCAAGGTGGGATGTGAGGTTAGAACAGTGGTTCTATGAGGTCACACCACATTCATGCAAAAACCGTTTCATAGGTTGAGGCGACTTTGCCAAAGGAGACCCAGTGAAACCAGCATTGGCATTTACCAGTGTAAAATGCTTTATAAGAAACAAGACAGCAGAGTTAAAGTGCATGCCTAAATTGGGTGAAATCCACTCCTCAAGTGCTTAATTAAGGAGCAGTGGTGGGCTAGTGCGCTATGCCTTCGGCAGTTAACCACAAGCTCAGCAGTTTGAATCCATTAGCCGCTCTCAGGAGAAAGATAAGGCTGTCTGCTCCAGTAAAAGTCTGCGTCGTGGAAATTCAAAGGGCAGCTCAACTCTGTCCGACTGAGTCGCTGTGAAGTGGAATTGACTGGATAGTGATGAGTAAGTCTAAGTGCTTAATCACAAAGAAGCAAAAGACTTCACTGTATATGCCCAATTGTGAGGCGCTTCAAAAGTCTGGGAAAAGTCCGTCATTTTCCATTGCATTGTTCCATGAACCGTTTTTAAAGCCACCTTGTGTAATTAAAGGTATCTTCCTCAATCAGTATTCATGTATTATAAACCCCTCATGTTACAGAATGGAGCTCCTAGTTTGAGATCACCTACTATGATTTTTTTTTCAAGGCAAAGAAGTTAAATAAAATTCCTGAGTGTGTGAACCTCAAGTGCAAGTGTTGGACATTTTTAAAATTATGCCACACAATAATCACTCTAAAATGCTATATTGTAAGTATCACAAATAGCAAGTCTGTAACATATGGCTTCACGTCAATTTAAATGGCCACATCATAGTCAAATACGGGCAGCAGTGCTCTTCAGCTACTTGGCTGGAAGGAAGGTGAATGTACTGAACCATGAGAGGATCCAAGGACTCGCTCTAGTGATGGCAGAGAAAGTGGTTCAGTGCCAACATTTCCTGAAGCATGCGTCTGGACAACAATCGTTTAACAATATGAGATTTTTAATATGTGTGTGTACCAAAATGAAGATACTTCATGCCCCTGAGTAGCTACATACTCAAGTCAGACGAAAACTTAGTTAGACCTTCACTGGGGACAATGAGGAAACAAATTACACTTGTGATCACATTCAATCAGAAGGAGCTGATCACTAATCCCTAACATTAATGCCTGTAAATGAAATGACATCTTCATCTAAGAAAGGAAGGACCTTAATATCCTGAGGAGACCCTTGGTGACACAGAGGGTTAACCTGCTCATCTACTCTGAAAGGCTGGCAATGTGAGTCCCCATCCGGGCACCTCAGAAGAAAGACCCTGTCTGTGATCGACTTCAGATAAACCAACCATGACAACGTACAGAGCTCGGTTCTATCTGGCACCCATGGCGTCACCATGAGTGAGAACTGACCAGACAGCAACTGGTCATCAAATAAGAAAAGTTAGGCTGAAGTCAAAAGACCAAATGTAGACCAAACCCCTCATGAGCCGTGAAACTGCATCTCAGTTTCTTAGCCATTAAATAGGAATGCCAATGATGGACTCCCCTTACATTAGTCTTCTCACCTGCTCGCTGAGGTGCTAAGGGAGAAGGAGACAGACAGACAAACTGCTGCTACCTGACAAGCCTTAAGCAAGCCATTGAGTAGCCACAACAGCTGGCCAAAGGGCCTGTGCTTGGATTCCTGCCCTTGTACTTTTTGCAACGTGATTCTAATTTATAAATCAATTCCAGATCAAACAACTAATGAGGCCACTGTTATTAATAATAAAAGAATAAGTGATATTTTAAAGTGTTAACAGCACTGGTTCCCTCACCTTTGAGACTAATAGTGATACATAAACGACATTTTCATGATTTCTCCTCTAAGTACCACTTACGCTTGGATGAGGCTAGACAAGTCAGTTAGGCCCCCGACTCCAGCAGCAGGTCCCCCAATGGCATTTGTCATCATCCCTGACATTCTACAGGGGACAAAAGATACAGCATTGGCGTATATTCTTTCTTAACAAGCAGGATAGTTGGCCCATGACAGATAAATACAGCTGCACTAACTAGGTTAAGGAGCCTTGGTGGCAGAATTAGTTACATGTGTGGGCTTTTAACTGCAAGGTCAGCAGCTCAAAACCACCAGGCACTGTGAGGGAGAACGATGAGCCTTTCTATTCCCATAAAGAAGTACAGTCTTAGAAACAGGAGAGCCTGTCCTATAGAGTCTTCTGAGATGGAATCAACTCAGTGGCAATGAATTTGGGGGGTTTTGTTATTGTTTTTTTTAAATAAATTATTTTATTGGGGGCTCTTGTAACAATCCATACATCAATTGTATCAAGCACATTTGTACATATGTGGCCATCATTTTCTTTCTATTTGAGCCCATGGTATCAGCTCCTCTTTTTTACCCTCCCTCCCTCACCCTCCCACCTTCATGAACCCTTAATTTATAAATTTCTGTTTTATTTTATTTTTTTTTTTTCAGTTTTTTTTTTTTTAACATTTTATTAGGGGCTCATACAACTGTTATCCCAATCCATACACACATCAATTGCGTAAAGCGCATTTGTACATCGTTTCTCAAAACATTTTCTCTCCATTTAAACCCCCGACATTAGGTCCTCATTTTTCCCCTCCCTCCCCTCTCCCCCCTCCCGCATGAGCCCTTGATAGTTTATAAATGGGTATTTTGTCATATCTTGCCCTGCCTGACGTCTCCCTTCATCCACTTTTGGCTGTCTGTCCCCCAGGGAGGAGGTCACACACAGTTCCATGCAATCGGTTCCCTCTTTCCTACCCATTCTCTCTTTACCCTCCCTGTTTTCCCACTCACACCACTGGTCCTATAGGGCTCATCCGTCCTGGATTCCCTGTATTTTCAGTTCCTATCTGTACCAGTGTACCTCCGCTGGTCTAGCCAGTCTTGCAAGATAGAATTCGAGTCATGGTAGTGGGAGCAGGGAGGAAACCTTTAGGAACTAGAGGAAGGTTGTATTTCTCATCATTGTTACATCGCACCCTGACTGGCTCATCTCCTCCCCGATATTTTCATATTTTACACCATCCACTGTCTCCCTTCACCCACGTTCTTCCCCTGGGGTGGGGGGTTGTATGTCGATCATTGCTATCGGTTCCCCCTTTCTCCCTCTTCTCTCCCCACTTTCCCCCACCCTCATGGTATCGATACTTTGGACTATGAAGTAGGATGTTAGGCTAAGTGCATCTCTAAGTTCCAAGTGACTAGCATTCCGGATAGTTATAATTATTTTCAGAGTTTGGGGATTAGGGGGAAAGAGATGTAATAAGCTCTTTCTAGATCAGCAGTTCTCAACTTGTGGGTCGCACTGCGACCCCTTGGGGGTCAAAAGACCCTTTCCTAGGGGTCACCCGATTCATAACAATAGCAAAATTACAGTTATGAAGTAGCAATGAAAATAATGTTATGGTTGGGGGGTCACCACAACATGAGGAACTATATTAAAGTGTCAAAGCAATAGGAAGGTTGAGAACCACTGCTCTAGATACTTACAGTTGTTGAACTTGAGGATTCTGCATTAAACTTGCTGCCTGGAATTGAAAAATGCATCTCTCATTAAAGATACTATTTAGGGATCTTTAACAAATACTTTTTAATTAGAAGCTAAACAACATACTAACATTTTATAGCGTTTTAGAGTGCTATACAAGTAAACAGGGGAAAAAGGAGCTACTGGTGGGGTAGAGGGTGTTAGTCATTAAAAAATATATTGCCAGGACAAAGAGATTACAAACCGCACTAAGGATCAAGATGATAGTTTGTTTATTCCTCCTGATGAGATCCATTGAGCTAAGGGGAAAGTAGAAGCTTGGACTTCTGCACTTGAACTGGCCCACTCCAAAGGACGGGCTTTGGCACCATCACAACGTCAGTGAGCCCAGCACGAGATCCTGCCGTTTCCATCAGCACACGGAAGAAAGGCTGAGTCACTGGGAGGACGGTGTTAGTGGAAAAAGACTGAATATACCGCGGGCTTCCGGAAGAAATAAATCTATGTTGGAAGAAGAGGGGGCGGAATACTCCCTAAAAGCATGTCTCACATGTTACCAGAAGAGACCGGTCCTATGTTTGGTCGAGTAGAGGCTCAGCAACAAGAGGGAGGGCTCTCCTGGAGTTAGACTGACAGAGGGCTGCGCAGCAGCTCACACACGATGGCGGTCACGCCGCGCAGGCCCGGTTCATTGTGTGCACAGGGTCGCTCTGAGGTGGCACCGAACAGCAACAGCAACGACCACATCAGCTGCCTGGAGGGTTATGACTTTCCCTTTGGGCCCAGATTCGTTCTTTCCGCGCTAATTAGTAAGCTGAGTGAATGACCTTCCAGGAGGCCTCCCTTTAACGCGGCACTGTCCCATTAAATAGATTGAGCCTGGAACTATCTCAGGAAACATACTTCCACTTCATTCTCATCAGGACAGTTACTTCACATCAGGCCAGCCTTCTTCGGCGAGCTCACCAGACTCCAGGCCCTGCCTCCCTTCATGAGGGCTACATGTACATCCTCAGTGGGCTGGAAACAGTCCTTCGCCATGAGCTGGAGGTGAGGGCAGGCCTCCGGCTGTCCCTCACAGAACAGGGCTCTGGAACTCCAATAGCTGTCATCAAAAATCCTCTTGAACCTCTAGCAACCTAATTTTTTATAGTCACTGAACATGTTGTTAACCGTCTCCTTTGCAGCTCCTATAAGGTGGCCTCACAGCATATAGCACCTCGGAGCCTGTGACGCAGCAAGCCAAGAGTACCGTGTGCACCTCCTAGCCCAACAGCATAACTGGAGGCCTGGCAGTCAGTAAGCATGTTCAAAAAATGTCCCGAGGCCCACAATTTGCTGACGGGTGCATAGGAAAACTGATTTAAGTTTGATGGAAAAATAAAAACTACCAATCGCCCAAAGACTTCTTTGTCTCCCTGGGAATGAATCGTTTGTGCAGTTCAATTCAACTGGAGACTTAGTGGATGCAGCACAGAATTTTGAAGTAAAAAGATGACTCAGCAGCAGCCCTGGCCTTCCAAGGGCACAGTGTGTAGTCGAGGTGTTCCCACATAACTATGCAGTCATCCAAGGAGCTGGGGATGCTCACGTCACATCCCAGACCCACCATGTCAGCGTCCACAAACTGCACCCGGGTCCATGTGTCTGCTAAAGAGCCTGCCGTGGTTTTGTCCATTGGAAGGATGGAGTACACAGACATGAGAATTACATGAAAAGATCCATTCTTAAGATGAAAAGAAAGACAATACTGAAGAGAGAACTTAGGGATCCACGAGAGCCAAGACCTTCGGACCTCAAGTATTAGGTATCTGCCTAGGACCACTTCCATAGAAAAAGCGTTTTTTTTTAATCATTTTGTGAATTGCAGACTCATCTGCCAATGTGATAAAAACTATGATTCTCTCCCTAAAAAAAATCCACACATCCACATGTATTTAATTTGTACAGATCATATGAGGAAATCCATAGGCTTCCTGAAGTTCAACCATCTTTCCCACAAAGAGGTCCATGAACAGGTTAAGCAGCTCAGCTACACCTTATGCCACCACTGACCACCACCCAACATAAAAGCGTTCTTATTACGATAAAGCATCAGAACTGATGAGGATGAGGCAAAAAGTACTGTTAACTAGGGTTCCAATTCATTCATGCAGAGGTTTATTCCCAACAAAATGTCTATAAACAGGCGAAACACGAAAACCTTTACTCCTGCAGAGTTAGTCTTGAAAACCTACTGCTAATGGGGTGCTATGAGTTGGAACCAACTCAATGGCAGTGATTCTTTTTTAATTACACTTGTCTTAGTCTCATTAGAGTGCCCTTAAAAAAATATTTTTCAGTCTACTCAAAACAGTGGCTTCTGAAAGGGTGTCAGTCAAATTCCAGTCAGAGGGGTCAGCCTACTAGGTTATGGCAACTGGTTTTGGTGATTCCAAAGGAGTAATCTCAATAGATTTCCTTGAATGATGTGGTAGTTACGTGGTTTCACGACAACGTGAAGATACAGAGAAGTGTAGGAGTGGCGTTTAGCTTGTCAATCACAGGTTGCAGCCTGATGACCTCACTTGGAGGTCCAACTAAGATACCTCCATGGAGGCTGGCCTCTCTCTTGCTCTCTGCCTTTACCTCCCTGCTTGTTGGCCATCCTGAGAGCTGTTGGAGCCCTGAGATGTTGTCCACTGACTTTGGATCCACATGATTTTGCTTCCACTGGCATGCAATATTCCTGTATTCTGTATCATAGCATGTGACTACATGGGTGGGAACAGGGACTTATGGATGTAGGAACTTGAGTTGGACTGGACTGGGATTTTTTTATATATATAATTACTTCTTGATATAAAGCTCTCTCTCAGACATATGAGTGTCACTGGATTTGTTTCTCTAGCCAACCTGGCCTACCACAAATGACATAGGACCACCATGGGGTCTTATACAGAAATTTTTTTAAAGGGGAATATTAGGTTGCTGAGAAAAAGGCCAGGAGACTTGTGCTGAGGAATTTTTTTCCCCCATCAAAACCATATACCTGGTCATTCTTCAAGGCTATCAAGGACTGTCCTGTGAAGATTTCTTTGGGAAACCATATGCCATCCACCGTACAGCCATTATCTTCCCTTTTAAACTTCTTTTGGTTCCCCAAACTCAAAGAACATTTCAGAAGGATTCTTGAGTAAATGGTTTTGATATTGTATAAGTGAAAGAGCATAGAATTCCTTGGGGAAGAGTTAGAAGGTGGAAACACTGCCTGCAAAAGCATACAGACCTAGACGGAGGTTGTGTTGAGGAACAGTAGCTTCGGTTTTTAATATTTTTGTTTAGTATAGGCTTTCATGATTTTGTAGCAATTGTTTTTATTTATTGTCACATAGACCTATGACAAAGAGAGCATAAAAGGAAATAATACTCACCATACTAATGAAGGCTGGGTTATTTATCAAGCTGGCCATGTCAAAGCTCAATCCAGTTCCTGTCTGTAAAACAATTCTATCTGAAAAATCACTCCAACCACTACAATAGAATTACAGTAAGTCATGAATGACAAATCATTTCACTCATTTGATATTCATAACTTACAGGACTGGATACCTCTCGTAACTTCTGCTCTGCGATTTTCAGATTTGACTTGTAGGAATCATTTTCAGGGTCAAGATCCAATGCCTTTTGATAACTTGTAACTGCGTCTTCAAATTTGTTCATGGCAGTAAGAGCCAGCCTGAAGAAATAAATAGTTTAGGAATAGAACATCTGATTAAAGAATGTCAGAACACCATGAATGTAGCCAAACCTCATCTTTGTTTTCATTCAGATAACAGTGAACATACTATACTATGGTTTACAAGAATGTATGAATGGGAAACAAAATTGAGACATTAAAATGACCTCTAATGATAAGATTCTAGGAATCTAAATTTTTTCCAGTCAACCGGAGTTGTCCAAGGAGGATCTTAATCTTTATGTCTAGAGAACACCCTGGTGTTCCTTACATTTAATGCCTCAAATATAAATAGTTTGCTTAAGAAGGGATAAGTTAACCTCCACAATGGCCTCCATTTTAACAAGAAATAGGGCATTCTGAGTGTACACAAATGCAGGGAGATCGTAAGATTTGGAAGTAGGAAGACAACTAATTTTTCTTCAAAATGCATCTATGTTCTCAATTGAGTATGAGGTACAATTGTCAGAATTACCACAGAAGGGGTACTGGAAATGTGAACTTAGAAGGGAACGGGAAGCTGTGAAATGCTTAAGGAGAGTGGTAAGGTGAATTTAGAAGGAATATAGAAGAATCGCCTGTCAATATTGAATGCTCATTTGAGATATATGATCATGGAAAAAAAAGTAAGTCTACTTAGTATGGTTGTGCAATTTTTTCCAACAGCAAACCATTTGTCATCCAACTAGTCATCTTGCTCCGGAGTCATGGAAACTGCAGCCATTTCTTCCAGTATGTTATGGAAGCACCTTGCTTCTTATTAGTTCAGAAGGTGCAAGATTAAGCAGGAGGTTAAAAAGCTAAAATCTTACCTGTTACTGTGCTGGTCATTCCCCCCAGCACTTCACTTACCCCATTCTCCCATAAGCCTTGCTGTACTTGGAATCAATGGCTATTGCTTTTTCACAATCCTTTATTGCATCTGTGTAGTGACCTAATTTACTCTGAGCAGCAGCCCTAAGAGAAAAAGAAGCAATTTTTATTAGCATGATGGCCTTTCCCCAATTTAGAAATCTCCTATGGAAGCTAGGGGGTAAAAAAAGATAAACCCAAAATGTAACCCAGAAACTTCTGGTAGGTGGCCATTCACAGTTTGTTATAGAAAAGACAAATATGCACACTATCTACCTATTTAACTCACTATGATCCAGTCGACTCCAACTTTGGAGACCCTAGAAAGAGTAGAAGTGCCCCTGTGGGAGTCCAAGGCTAAATCTTTAGGGGACTAGAAAGCCTCGTCTTTCTCCTGAAGAGCAACTGGTGGTTTTGAACAACTGACTTTGCAGCTAGCAGTCCAATGTGTAACCACTACACGACCAAGGCTCCTAGCTACATACTACCTGTCTAATTGGACCACACTGAAAATACTAAGGCATCCGGGGTCCCTTGAGAGGCACAACACTGAGCGAGTCAGGCAGCGAATGGCTGCACAGAGAGCTGCGCTGCTGAGCTGACAGTGTTCTGAGCTTCTCAGTAACTGGCAATGTTTCGATACCATCCATAGGGTTTTCATCAGTGGCTAATCTCTCAGAAGCGGACAGACTATTACTTCTTCATAGTCTGGTCTTAGCCTGGCTGCTCTACTGAAACCTGTTCACTTTGGGTGATCCCACTAGTATTTGAAATACCAGTGGCATAGCTTCCAGCGTCATAGCAACACACAAGCCACCACAGAACAAGCTGACAGACAAGCGGTTGAGTGTTATAATATCAAGTGTACTTAAGTTTTGAGGATACCAAGCAAAGTGTATGAAGGGGTGACAAATGAGTGCACAAGCGGGGCTGCTGGGAAGCAGGATGTGGGGGCTGGGAGAAGGGATGTAGAACTAGAAAATGAGGGGAGGGGAGTAGAGGAGAGGAGAGAGGGGCACTGTGACAACAAACTGTAAGCTAAACAGGAGAGCAGTGATAAAGCATGTGGTTGCTAACCGACAGGTCAGAGGTACGAACGCACCAGCTACTCTGCAGAGGAAAGATGTGCCGTGGCGTCTGTAAAGATGGGAGTCCTGTGGCGCAGTTCCACTCTGTCCACTGCAGGGTTCCTGAATCAGGATCTACTTCACAGCACCGGGTTTAACCCATTAGTAGACTCTGGATGTACTGAGATTCAGTAACAGAAATCACATCGGCAGCCAGTTCTAAATGCCATTCTCCACTAAGAGGACCCAAAGCCCTCGGAGAAAGGGCTCAGGCCAGATCTCCTGTGGCTGTAAGGAGCCATGCAGTCAGCTCCGACTCCTGGCAAACAGAATGAAAGACTGCTTGGTCCTACAACTGTTGCTCTGTCAGAGGCCCTGGTTTCAGGTTCCGGGGCAATCCATCCAGTTGAAGAGGTCTTCCTGCTTTCAGCCACCCCTCCGCTTTACCCAGAATGATGTCCTTCACTAGGGACCCGTCTTCCAAGGCAATTTGTCCAAAGTATGTGGGACGCCGTCTCGCCATCCCTGCTTCTAAGGAGCATTCTAACTATATTTCCTTCAAGACAGATTTGTTTGCTCTCCTGGCAGTCTTTCAATATGCTTCACCAGCACCATAATTAAAATACATAATTTTTTCTCCTATTCCCCATATTCATTGTTCAGGTTTCACAAGCAAATGAGATGATTAAAAACACCGTGCCGTAAGTCAGGTACACCGTAGTTTCTTCAAAGTGACATAATTTGTCTTTAATGTGTGTACAGCAGCTTTGTCCAGTGCAATACTTTGCTTGATTTTTTTAGTGCTGCTTCCATGAGCATTGACTAGGGATCCAAGTGAATGAAATATTTGACAACTGGGTTTGGGTCTGAGAAAATATTAGGTAAATCTTGTCTCAGAAAGAAAATAAAACTATATAAAAGGACACAAGGCAAATTTGAAGGGGTTCCTACAATCCAAATATAGGATAATCTAGGGACAAAAATAATTACAAAATGATTATAACAATAATTGTGAGGATTGCACACGACCAGGCAATGTACCCTTCTGTTGTGCATGGATCACTGTAAGCTGGAATCAAGATGGCACACAGAAAATATAATTCATTCAGGGCGGGATCATGAGTATAAAGTCAGTGAATTAAAGGTTTTTGAAGAACAGGACACTTACATGGTCTGACCTAATAAATTACTTATTCATGGCAGAAGGAATAATCTTGATAAACTCTCAAAGTTAGGGTCATGACTAACGAGACCGCGTGAAAGCAGGTATCGTGGGGATGTGTTGGGCTGCGAACCACAGGGTCAGCCGTTGGAACCCACCAGCCCAAAGGCGACTTTCTACCCCCGCCCCCCGAAGGAGTTCGAACCTCAGAAACCCAGAGGGCGAGTTCTACTCTGGCCTAGAGAGTCGCTATGACTCAGACTGGACTCAACCTCAGTAAATCTGATGTAAGGAGCTCGTGGTGACCCAGGGGTAAGCATTCTGATGTTCATAGAAACGTGGATCGTTCGAACCCACCACCGTATCCCACGGCAGAAAGATAGGGCAGTCTGCTTCCATCCAGATTGACAGCCTTGAAAACCATTTGGGGCGGTCCTTTCTCCCCTACAGCTAGGCTGTAAGTCAGACTCAACTAGACAGCAGTGTGTGCATTGATGGTTAATACAATCTAATAAATGGTTCATATAGGAACTGTACCAAAACATTTAACCTAAATTTCATCATGAGGAAACAATCAGACAAATCCATGATCACTGGCCTGAACGCTTCCAAAATGTGTTATGAAAACAAAACAGAAAATAGAGATTAAATGAAACTAGTGGGACATAACAAATGCAATGCATGAACCTTGATTTAATTCTGAGTCAAAAAATTGCTATAAAAATATTGATAAAGTGGGGAGATTTTCTTACATGTGGTAATTTTCTTAAGTTTGAATGATATCACAGTTTATGGAATGTATATTTTTATGAGATAAAGTTTAAGTATTTAAGATCAGTAAGCAAAAAGTATTTATCTGTGTCTGGGCATGTGTGTGCACATATACACATTCACACCCTCTAGCAAGAAGCAGAAGAAGACAAAGATAAATAATAAACACAAAGAAAGAACATGTGGCAAAATATCAGAAACTGGCGACCCTATAATAAGTGTATATGGACCCTCGTTATACTAGATTTTCAGTAACTTTAAGATGTAAATATGTTTTCTTTTCACCTACCTTTAAAAAAAAAAAAAGCAGAAGCCACCCTACCATGTGAAGGGTTTCGCCATTAGATATATTCAGCTAGGGACACTTTTCCTTTGTAAAATTCAATTTCCCAAATCAACTCAATGCCACCACTTATTGAACATCTGGGGAGGGGGTGCTTTCAGAGAGTTCATGGAAAAATGGAAATGAAAAATAATGGAATTTTTCCACGAAGCCCCTTCATGTGATATGTTGGCCCTTTAACTTGAAACCAAACACTCAGAGAGAAAATGGATACGACAGAAGCCCTCCAACCTTTCATAGTCTATTAGGAACACTGGAAAACACAAGTCAAAAATCAAAAAAACTCAGCCATCGAGTCAATGCTGACTCACAGTGACCCACTGTGGGCTTCCAAGACTGTAACTGTTCACAGGAGTAGAAAGCCCAACTTGCGAGTAAATAAATTATCAGTATGAAAAGTGTAGCAGTGGACATATCAAGGGAAGAGGCAGCACAGAAGCAGGTGTGTGTTACTCAACCTGGGCTGCCCAGTGGATATTCTCATAATGGGAAAATTGTCTTATCTCTACTATTCAGTATGATAGCCGCTAAACTACACATGGGAATTAAGCACTTGACGTGGTTAATCTAAATAAGGAATAAGCTGTTTTCTTTCTTTACATTTTGGTTAATTTACATTTAAGTAGGCATATTTTACTAGGAACTACCATGTAGGACACTGTGAGATTGACAGGGAGAAGGGTATAGAGATGTATACTCAGTATGATTGGAGAAAAGAGAAATTAAGTCAATCTTCTCCAAAGAGACAACACCAAACAGGATTTTGAAGGATGACTAATTTGGTAAGGTGAGAAATATTCAAAGCAAGCAAAGCATTGAAGGATGGTCCATCGGTATTTTTTAAATGCACAGAACATTTTACATGACATGTATATGGAAGTTAAAGAGACCAAGAATGAGGCAGAAGGACATTGGAGATAAAGTGAAAAGAAAAGAAAAGCATATGTTATAAAAGATATATCCTAATAAGGTGCTTACATTGGCTCATGATGGTATTTGGAATTAGTGAAAGTCAAATGATCAATTTCACATTTTAGAAAGTTCTATTTAAGTTAAAAGTACACGAGTTTACCAAAAGTTAACCTCAACTGAAACTGAGGCAATGGTGGTGGAAATGGAGGTGGGAACAAAGGAGCAGTTTGGGAGGACGATGGGAAAGGGAAGCATCAAAAAAGAGCCCCTGACCTCGGGCTTCAGAGACTGACAACAAGACAGGTAACGAAGCAGAGAAGGATCAGACCCAGACGGACAAGGAGGAGGGGAAGGCGAAGGAAGAAAGAAAATCATTGTTATTTCAACCCTCACACATCCTCAGATCACTAACTGCCAGCAGGATGAAGGCCAATGTGTGCTGCTCACAAAAGGAGGGACGAGGCAGCTGAGCCTTTGAGACCAGGAAAGGGAAGAGAAGCCAAGCTGTATTTGAATCTCCTGTGAGATGAAGCCAAACATAGCCGTTTCCGAGCAGAATAACAATGTGGTGTTCTCTCTCTGCCTCTGCTGTCTGGTTTTCAGGGCATAACTAATGGCATTTCAGAAAAACAATGCAGTCAGTCACCATGTCTTCAAATATCCTCCAGCTCTTTACCTTACTGGAGGGAAAGCATGAAAATGATTCGTCTTTGATTTTTGGAGAAAATAAAGCAGAAAAACAACAACCCATCAGATTTCTCATACTGTACGGTATGCATGCATGAAAGAAAACACCAATTCTTCAGCTGAAAAAGTCTCATATTGCCTTCTGGGGGGAGGAAAAAATATA